TGGAAATAATGACATGAACAGACTTGAAGAGATACTGCCCAGTTGTAGTACTCCTTATTTAATTCTAGGTGAGAAGATCACGTGGTCATCTTCTTTTGAGACGCCTAGGGGGATTAGGGAAGAAGCAAGGCTGGAAACAATTGGATTTGGATGGGACTGAAGTTTATCATGAAAGGATAGGTATCTTGCTCGGGCTAAATCAGCGATAAAGGGAACATTATGGTCTTTATGAATGGTTTTATTTGTGACAAAATATGAGACATTAAGGATTTTACGAAGGATTTTGGATTGTAAGGATTGGATACGAGAGGAATTCGATGGTTTAGTGGAGCCCCAAAGCTCTATTCCTTAAGTCCAAATAGGTCTTATTATTGCCATATATATTAGTCTTTTGTAATTGATTGAAAGCTTAGAGCGTTTGTCTAGTAAGTGTTGGAGAAGTCGGAAACGACGAGCAGTTTCTTGTGGTTTCAGTCTTGTATGAGGATTCCATGTGAGTCGTTTATCCAGGTGGAGTCCTAGGTAACGGATTTGTTCAAGTGAGATAAGTGGGGAATTATTAAAGGATACTGTAGGACAGGAGGTCATGGGTTTGTGATGCAGGGAAAAGGTAATTTGATGGGATTTATTAGAATTTATTTTAATTCTCCAGTTTCTACACCATTCTTCAATGTTTGTGATATGTGATTGGAGAGTTTGGGATGCAGTTGATGGATCATTATTAAGAGATAGGATACATTTGTCATCAGCATATGTGGTGATGACAGTGTCAGGATGGGTTGGGATGTCAGCAGTATAAACTGTGTAAAGGATATGACCAAGGATACTGCCTTGAGGAAGAACTCGTATTCTTACATTGGAAATCGAATAGCTTTAACTTTGTTAATAGCTATCGGGAATTTGACCCGATCGCAATACTTTCCTTACCTAGTATAGGTAGGAATCACCTTTTTTTGTTGAATAGGAAGCGATAACTTAAAAAATATTTCATTTGCAATTGTTTTCCATTGCAATTGTTGTTGTCCATATAGCTTTTATTATGGTTAAGTAGATGAGTCTTTTGTAATTAATTGAAAGTTTAGAGCGTTTGTTTAGGAAGTGTTGGAGCAGTCGGAAATCGAATAATTTATATGCATACTTACAGTAATATCTATTAACAATTTTATAGGGACTGGATGGATAAGAAATGATTGAACAGGCGGGATTTAAAGGTAAGGATTGTATTGGATAGACGGATGTGGTAAGGGATGGAGTTCCATAAGGATGAGAATCGGACAATGTCTGTCGAAAGCAGCGGTTTCTCTCTCCACTCAGATTGAATTTGACAGTAGAATCGCAAAGAGTAACTTTATTACATGACTCATATTAAATGCTATGTTTATTTTATTTTTTAATTTCCTTACATAGCAAGAATAACTTTAGTTTCTTTTTTAATTTAGAAAATTTATTTTTTCCTCCCAGTGTTAATACTTTATTTTTTTATAATTTGTTCACATATTCGATCTTTCGATATTCGGAGCTTCTGTCCCACCATAAGTGGGGATATTTTTCTTTTTACTATTCCTAAATTTGTCATATAAATATTAATCCATAATTTATTACATCGAGATATTTTAAAATTATTTGTTACAATTGTTTTATTTAGGAACATCCTCGAGGTTATTGTATTGTTATACTTTGTTACAGAGAATTCGCATATTTAATATTTTTTTGAGAAATCCTTTTATTTTTTATTTTCCCTGTTATCCATTAGTTTTTCCTTTGTTCTGAGTACATATTACTTCGACACACACACACACATATATATATATATATTTTTTTTTTTTTAAATTCCTCCCAATGTTGATCAACTGTGAGGCGCTCTGTGTAAGGAATTGAAAATTATTTTAATTTTTAATATTGTTCATTTGTAGTTAATATATCTTTGTTATACATATTATTTCTCTCCCCTTTTTCAGTTTATTTAAATACTTGCGTAAAAAAAATAATTCATCCATATTAAAGAGAAGTACAATAAAACTGTATATCTACTTAACTAAGTTGAGTTGCTACAACACCCAGCTACTGATCAGTCCTAACCGATAAATAGGATAAAGTTTTGCGGATCTATTATCCAAAAAAACCGAACGTTATGATATTTAAATTTACTTTAAAATATTCAGTAGTATATTGTTTCTTTAACAATAATTATATTGATTTTAAACATTTATCATTTTAAATAATTTTTACTCATAATACTACTAGAATAAGTAAAAGGCTCGAAAAGAGACATTATGAATGGAACAATCCAAACTATAAAGCCATGATGAGTCTTTATCATACAAATAAACTGTTAACTTGCTAATTCAGGCACCATCAGGGAAGAAAAAACAAAATCACATATATGCAGAAAGAAAGAGAGGCCAAAAAAAAAAAAAATCTGCTATTGACATCTTATCAAGCCATCCAAAACCATACTGAAAGAACTAAGAGAGGAAGGTTATATAAAACAGCTGAATAGCAGGGCTACCTAAAAAACAACAACTCATTCTTGGAATATAATAATACAAAAATGTGTTAATAAAATTAAATTTGGATGTTTTGTATGGTTTGATGAGATGTGAGTAGCAAATTTTGTTTCCCTTTTTTTCATCTTTCCTTCTGCATATATGTGATATTGTTTTTTCTGTCCTGATAATGCCTGAATTGGCTAAACGTCGGCAAGTTGACTGTTCACTTGTATGTTGGAGATTCATGGCTTTATAGTTTGGATTTACCTATAATATTAACTACCGCCATTTTTTTTTTTTTTTTTATGTTTTAGGCAATCCTCTTCTCCCAATCAAAATAGAAAATTACGATTATGCTCAGAGGTGCCACCCCCCTCCAAAGTCAATAGCGCATGACCTCCCCCCCTCCTAGTAAGATAATTTATTCCTCTCCTCTTCTTAAAAACAGTGCAAGCGAAAATAAAATTTTAAAAATCATAGATCATATACAATTAAACTTTTAGAAGTTTGCACTATGCTTTTAAAAATTTCACAACTCTTTCGAAATGCGCCCCCCTCAAAATTTCAAAACCCCGTCAAATTGTGCCCCCTCAAAAATTTTCATGGCGCCATGAAACCCACTTGTGGGCACTCCTGCTTATGCTTCATGGAAAAAACTTCCTTTATTTTTTTCTTTTTATATTTGAAATATGTTCTTCTTCCATGAGCCTGATTATTCTGTATCTCCACACATATTATTACAGTAAGGTTCGAAATCGGTTTTGTACCAGATATGAGCTCCTGTCATGGTCAAATACCATGAATGGGGTACCGTTTGATTCATAATTTCACTGGTGATTAGCAAATCGTGCTCTCTCTCCTCTTTTGTTTTTCTTTCTAAAATAAATAAAGTCTATATAACTGTTTTGATAGGCTTCAATTGGGCTTTGAAGATTTTGATGCGTACACCAAGACCCGAATAGTTTCTTCTTAAGCCCAAAAAGGTACTATGCTCCGAGATAATGCAAGGCAAAGAGTTCGCATTCCCACACAATATTACGTTAATTGCAGTACTGTCATGGAGTACATGTCTCATTTCATCGGCTTGAGGTCCCTATGATCGAGAGAGAAGATCTTTATATTGTTTATCAAAGGTTATTTTTTTTGTCGATAAGCCTTATCACCGTTCATCAAATGCCACGATTGAACCACCAATTTTGAAGGCTTCCTTCTCCTTCAGGCGGGAAAAATAGTCCAATCACTCCGAAAATTGGAAGAAAAGAAAAGAAACTTTAATTGCAAATGACTCAAAAAAGTACACATTTTTCCCTAGGTTATGTCTATTATTATGTGTATTATGATTATATAAAATATTACTAAAATTCCTATATAAAGAAAATAAAATCATCGAAATCGGACAATGATTAGCGAAAATAATGTTTATTGAAATTTGTAAACATGTTGGTTCCAAACATTAATGAAGTTTTTTTTTAGTTTTTTATTTATTTATATGATATTTACAACTGTATACAAAAAATACATCTAGTAAATTCGCACATGGATATAATGACATGAAACACATGTTGAGAAACTACCCATTGGTAGCACTCTAATAATATGTCTATATTAGGAGATCACCTGGCCATCTTCTTTTAGACGCCTCGGAGGGTTATCAGGAATTGAATAGGAAGCAAGGTTCGAAAAAAGAGGGTTGGGATGGTTATGAAGTTTATTATGGAAGAACAGATATCTGGATTGGGCCAAATCTGATACATAAGGAACATTAAGGTCATCATGGATGATTCTATTTGTAACAAAGTAAGGAGCATTGAGGATTTTATGAAGGATTTTGGATTGTAAGGATTGAATACGAGAGGAATTTGAAGGTTTGGTGGAGCCCCATAGCTCAACTCCGTAAGTCCAAATAGGCCTTATTATAGTCATGTAAATGAGTCTTTTATAATTAATTGGAAGGTTAGAGCGTTTGTCTAGTAAGTGTTGAAGTAGTCGGAAACCTCGAGCTGTTTCTTGTCGTTTCAGTCTGGTATGAGGGTTTAATGAAGTTTAAATATTTTTTTTTCTTTGTCGATTATATATTTAGTGAGAATGCTAAGTTTGATTTCTCTATCTTATGATACGTTGCATTATTTTCGTTTCTTATTAATTTGTCATTTGATCACTGAACAATATACTGTGCGAATTTTTCGCATGGGTCTACTAGTATGCTCTAATTCGTATAGTCATTACTTCCTTGTTTCATTGTTAAAGCTATGAATATTTCTGTCGATCCCATGTATTGAAACACCGTTATTAGTGTTTCAAAAAGTTTACTAATTTTTTTCCCTACATCTGTGTTAGCCCTCTTCTGAAAATCTCCTGGCGTTGTATTAGAAGAGGGATGAGCCTGAGACCTGGATTTGGATGGGTTGGGTATAGAAGCATTGGGTAATGGTTTGTGAAGGGCCAGGTAGCGGGATTGAGGGCTGTATGTAAACACTAATAGTGGAGCACAATAGGCCCTCAGCGGGGAACATGGGCAAAGTGGTTCCGCCAACCCCGGCTGACTTCATCCAGCTCTTCGCTACAGTTCACGAAAGAAGGTTAGCCCCGAGGGGGGGGGAGGGGTACTCTTCAATTTTTCGAACTATGATACCACGTATTTATCACCTATCTATTATTTCTCTTAATTTCACTGAATTGTGCAATAATTTGGTCCTTCAATGCTATATGTATACAGTGTTCCCCACTAGCGGATCCAGGATTTAATTTTGGAGGGGCTTCAGCCCGACAGCTTTTTTTTTTCATAAAAATAACGATAATTACTTTGGAAAAAAAGAAAGAAACTAACTACCTATATCAAATGGTGTTTAAGTGATTCCTAAAGTCCTTTTAAATGTAATTACACGAACATTAATACTTAAAGAGATAATTTTTTCCATAAAACATGGTTATATTTTACCATTTTTGGGGGGCTTCAGCCCCAAAGTCCCCTCCGTAGATCCGCCCGTGGTGTCCCTTAAGTAGAGGGAAAATTTTATAGGAGTGATAGCAGACCTCAAGAGCTACGAAAAAGCGTATACAAACATTGGTACGATTTTCGATACAAAAGTATGAAATTTAAGTTTTGTGTTTTTTTTTAAGTAAGTCGTGTTTTTGTTGAATATGAAGCGCTGACTGAAGGAATGTTTAATTTAATTAACAATTGCTTCGCTGCTAACTAGACAAAATTTACATTAAATTATTGAAGAATTTTTCATTATTAAAATCATTTAAAGAGGACTTTTAAGTGGCTAAAATAAAATTCAATTCTCAATTCTGTTTAAAAAAACATAAATTATTCGCCACTTACATAAATTATTTTTTTTTTTTTTTTTTGAAATCCTTAACTACTTTTTGGGGGGAAGGAGTTCAGCACGAAAACTCCCCAGTAGATCTACCAGTGATGCTTTCTGTATGCCCTGGATCCTTCGACTTGATCCTGAATAGATTATATATTCAGTTTATTATTATATTATAAGAGGGGCTGGATGGCCGAATGGGCTAACGCGAGTGCACAGCACCGCGAGTTGCCCGGAAACCAGATAACCGAAGTTATGAGAGATTAAAAATGTACTAGTTCGCATCCAGGTGCCGGAAGAGATTTTAAATTCCTTACCCTTAGCATTGCCCAAGTACGAGACCGAGACGAGTCTTGGCCTTGCAAATTCAGTCTTGGTCATGGTCTTGGTCTTGCGGAAGAGTCTCGGAACAGTCTTGCAGTTACTAATTAGCTTATTACTATATAGATATAACTGTGATTTTTTAGATAGGAGAAACCTAACTAAGCCCGAGTGATAAAATAGAGGAGTTAAATGCAAAAGTATATTGGTTATACCAATTATTTACATATAGTAACTAAGATTGTCAAGTATTAGTAACTATTTTGCCTTAACTTTTATTCAAAAAATAGATTTTTTTTACCAGTCCTGGTCTTGGTCTTGCAAAGTGCCAATTTTGGGCAACACTACTCACCCTCAACCCCTGGCCCGGCAAAACCCCGTATATCCCTAAAGGCGAGGTTGGGAAGAACAAAAAAAAAAAAGAGTTATTCTTCTTATTATTATTGTTTTAAAAAACAAAAGAGGCTGTACAATTTAAAAAAGTGAAACCTTTCATAAAAAATTGTCAAAAATCGATTCTTTCGCCACATTGGTACGTTAGGTATTATAATCTCCATTAAATTGCAAGTTATTCGGGAATATTTTTTTTAATTATTGGTGGCAGTATAGACTACCGCCCATCCCTGGTGCAAGGTGGAATGTCGTGGTATGTTTTGATTCAAAACATTTTAAGGGGTGTTGCTGTGGGCAATGCCTTAGGCCCTCTACTCTACAAGAGGGAGGAGAACAAAGATCGAGGCCATTGTCGGCCTGCCTGTCGCGGTGGTGATCAGGTTTCGAGGGGGGAGGAATGGGGGGGTGGGGCGGTACTAAATGAAATTCGATAGGACCCCAGCCCTAATCCCTTCATTAGTACCGCCACGCGGCCTTCTCAATCGGGGCTTAGTCTTTGTTTACTGTCACCTCTCGGCAAAATATATCTCTTCCTAATTCGGTTATGTTTCATTTGGTTGTAATCGTTAACTCTTAGTTATTAAAGGAGTAGAAATAATTTTTTTTTTCGTTTCCGAGAATTGTTACTGCGTTGGGTTCCCGCTCGTCTTGATCCACAGCTGCCTATAGGTAGGTTATAAATCGCAATTACAAACATAGCAGCGAACTATAAAAACTTTAATTTACAGTTATACTTGTATTTACTACCAGTAGCTGGTTACTCGGGCGTGTGTCTTTTCTTTTTTTTTTTTTTCTTTCTTAATGCATCAAACGAAAACTAGATAGGATTGGGCACTGCAGCAGTTCACTCATAGCTATCTATTAACAGGCCTAGAAGCTCCTACATGCGAAAAATGTAATAATACACCGCAAACTGTGAAACACCTTCTAGTAGAATGTTCCCAATTCGAAACAAAGAAAAAATAGAACTAGGAAAAACACTAAACGAAATACTACAAGCCAATGAAGAGAGAGTCTCTATCCTGTTTAAATTTTTAAAGATTATCAACTACTATAACAGAGTATAAATTATATCGAAAACGCCAATGACCCTTTAGGGTAGAGGCGAGAAAAAGAGAGAAAAAAGAAAGAAAAGAAAACTAGATAGATAATTTACTGTAGCAAATAATTAATAAATAATAGTAAATAACAAAGAGAAGTTTGTTGAAGTGTTCAGGAACAATAAATAAATATATTGACTATTTAATAGTTGACCGTTGCATTATAAAGGAAGGAGATGTTCCGGTTTGGCGGTCATAAATAGGCTAAATAGTGGCAAAACTAGTTTCATTAAAAGCCAACGTTTTGACCCGACTTTGCAGGTCTTCTTCAGGCAGGTGTGTTCAGGTAGGAGTTTCACTTAGAACTTTCAGTGGTTCTAGCTGAACACACCTCCCTGAAGAAGACCTGCAAAGTCGGGTCGAAACGTTGGCTTGTTGTTAATAAAATAGTTTTGCCACCATTTAGCCTATTTATGACCGCCACCTCGGACCATCTCCTTCCTTAAATAAGTATATGTATTACTTTCACGTACCTATATACGAAATATATAGTAAAGGAAAGTGTTGCGATCGATAAAATATTCGAACCTCAGCTTTGAACTGAAATACTCTTCTTGAGGTTCCTTGAGTCCAAATAACCCAGTCCCACAAAATGTCCTGTGTGTTTGTTAACAGTCTAGCTCAAAAACGAATATTTAATATTTTGAATATTAAATATTTTGAATATTTAAGGTTTTTATATGCCTGGTATGTTACAGCAACTCTTCCGTCAAAATTGACGGAAGTGGCACTTTATTAGCAATTTAACACATTTTTACGGTTTTCTCGAAAACGGCTCTAACGATTCTGATTAAATTCTGTATATCAGTGTAAAATTAAGTGTTTTTTTAAATATAATGTAGGTTTTATTCTCATTGATGTGCCCTAACACGGCTTAAATGGCTAATTTTCAATATTAGCTTCCTCTAAAGTTCCTTTATTTTTTTTTATTTGAAATAGTAAACCATTTCACATTGATCCCTGATATAAAAAATAGTAACATATAAATTATGAAAGAATTTGACAATTAACTAAAGGAGAAATAAGAGATCATAACGGTGAATAGTTGTAATGGAGGAACCAAAAGAATACGAGCGCTAACCGAGCTCGTCCAAAAGATCAGAACAGGCTTCCATCCTTAAAAAGAGCTTAGTATAATACGGGCTCCGATAATATTATGTACATATACATATGCTGTTTTCATAAATGCTATGGTTGGTATTATTTAATATTTAATTATATAGATTACGGCGATACAAACATTAAAATTTGTATATTTAAGGGTACTTAAACCAATAAAAATACCCACAATGAAATATAAATAAATATAGCGTCTATAATTTTTACATTCACTTCCCCTTTGTCTGAAAATACATATTTCTGCTAAGAAGAGGTTGGTAATTGAATGTTGTGTGATGCGCCCACCGCACCAGATTTTTTTAAATTTCCTTCGTGCCGACTAAGTTCCAGGCCTTCGTCAGACCTAAGCTCCAACAAGATAACATGTAATATAAATATTGAGAAATGATTAAAAAAAAGTAATAAAAAAAAAGATAAAAATGTTTAAAGGTTTCCACCACTTTCCATGACTGTGATAACCTAATGTATTGCCTATATTTATATGTATATATATGTATTAGCCTATAGCTAAAATACATAACTTACAAAATTTACAAAAAGTAAATAATTTGATTGTTTAAGTATTCAACTCTGATCATTTACAGAAACAAATATTCAGCATTAAAATTATTTGTTTCCTTTTTTTGAGTGGTCCTTCGACCCAAAAGCCCACCCTTTCGTGGATCCGTCTTTCGTGAAATACTTAGCAATAATTAATTGGGAATAAATTATGTCATTCAATTAATAATATTTATGAAAAATTTATAATAATAATGAAGTTTTGTCAAATGATTTTATTTTAAATATTCTTTAAATCAATTGAATTGTGTTTTTCTTTTTAAAAATTCCTTGGAAGTCTTATAATATTAAAAAAAAATACCATGTTTCTAATTCCCTGATTCCCTGAAACACCTATCGGTCCATTTGTTTATTTAATAAAATTATGCTCTTCTACCCTATCCTATGTATGACCCTTGAGTCCTGCATAATTTATTTAGGGCTGATCAATTTTATGACTAAAGATAATTATATTACAAATTTACTACAATAGGCCTTTTAAATTAAAGGAACAGCTGCGTAAAATTTGTAATTGGTGCTCCGTGATACTCCCATGTCCCTCACCACTGCACTGAGTTAAAGTGGCTCTTCTCTTCCGAAGACAATATTTCTTAGGTAGGTTCCCCTATCAAATTATCAACAATCATCGTCCTTTTTACGCCTACAACCTTCTTCAATTCAAGTCCTCAGTCCATTCCCTTCCCACAAGATCTCGGCTTTCTGACCTTTTACATCCCTTCTCACAGATCTGCCTCATTCCAAAACTCCTTTATTGCTGGTTCTGTTAATTTCTGGAGTTCCCTTTCTATTAAAATTCGGCATTCCCCCTCCATATCTACATTTAAATCTCTCCTATTCCAATTCCTGTCCCAAAAATAGTCAGACATCCGCTAACCTTTTATGATGTAATTACATATTATTCATAATGAATTACATAATGATGTATTTACATATTATTTATCATTTAAATACTCAGACATTTTTGCTATCAGATTTGGCTTTCTTCTTGGCAGAAACACAGAGTTTATTTTCAAGAAGAATTTAATGTATTTTTTTCCCTAAAAGTGTATATTTATGTTTTACCACTATGCATAGTTTTGTCATAGTTTCAAGTGTTTTGCCCAGCGCCTCGCACTCTGCCGCATTACTGGTATTAAGGACTTGTAGAGGCTGAGCAGAGGCGCTATAATCACATTTACAAGGCTTGAGTTGAGAATATGGCCGTTGCCAGAACTCCATTATATACTTATTCACAAAAGATCTCTGGGCCACTGCCTGTTCAAACTTCGAGGAGGATTGTAGGGATGGTTGGTGCTGGATAGGGATTGTGCAAGGGGATTTGGATGATAGGTAAGGTTCTGGTGAATTTTAGAAAATTTCTCTGGAATTGGGTCTAAGACAAATGGGATATTAGGGTCATGGTGTAGGGTTTTGTTGGTTTCATTGGATGGAGCACCATCTATTGTTCGAAGGACTTCAGATTGAAAGGAATTTATATTTATATTTCAATAATTATATTATATTTAATTAGTACCAGGTGACCTTAGTTAATAAGCAATAATATTATAGTAGAAATTAATTGGTGTATTTTCTATGTATCCCCGTTGGAACAGAGGTACTAGTAACCAACCCACTACCGTTTTACATAGTGTTAGAGAAAAAAATCCCTCACTTGAATTTTGTTCTCATTACTTCACAGTAATAAAATAAAAATAAAATAGTTTAGTATATGATTTAAGTATATTGAAATGACAGTAGCTATTGATTAGGAGTACAATCAATGATAAGTATAAAACTAGGAGTTTTAGAGTTCGTAGAACTCTTTTATAGGTTGAGTGAATGTGGCGAGGTAGTAAAGATTAGGCGATAGGATTTTACGAGTTCCTTACCTCCTACTTTCAGTGATCTTTTAACTTAATCGTGTCGTTTCGTTAACTGGGAACTATTTTATATCATTCCCCTATCTAGGTTTTATTACTTTTCTACTTAAACCAATGTAACCGTTTAAACTGTACCGGTTTTTTTTTTTTTTTTTTTAATGAGTATTAACAAAGTCTGCCACAATGTAGGGTATTGGTAGTAGGGCTATAGTATTCATTCACACAATATGTATATACGAATGTAAAATAAAGATAATAAATAAAGAAATTACTAAAGAAAAAATATATGTATAAATAAATAAAAAGATAAATTAAGTAAGACAAAGAGAATTAATATACATATACACAAGGTAAATAAAATAATTAATTGAAGCTGAATGAAGATAAAACAAATGAAACACATTCACACCTATTACTGTACTATTTAAATTGCTAAACACATCCTACAAACATACAACGTTATATTACCTCTATCCCAGACAATAAATGTCAGTCCAATGTTAATTTTTTGTTTATTAGATAATATTTCATTATTATTTAACTTCTTAGCAATTAAGGCTTCCATTTGTTAAAACTCGTTATTTTTTTTTTTATAATTATATACTATGGTTTTTTTTGCTAGTTATTGTGTCGTTCTCATTATTGTCAACTCATGTATGTTTTTAATAATACAAATTAGCAGTATTGTTTGGAGCATAGAATGTATATATATATGTATATATATATATATATATATATATATATATATATATATATATATATATAATAGAAAATAAGATTATACTGGGACCACGTTCT